CACAGTATTTAAGTGATTGTATAAAGGAAAATGAAAATGTAATAAAAGAATCTTTGATTAGAAAAAAAAAAAATTACCTATTATCCTCTCAACTTGCCGATCTAGATTATTTATAAAAATGCTCAATGGGGCCCAGAATAGCAGGCTCTATGAAGCCTATGAATATGAAGTCATTTACTACTTAGAGTACTTTCTGAGGGCAATTTAAGATTTTTTTAAATTCAAAATGTTAAAATGCAAACTCCAATTTAAAAAAAAAAAAATACAAAAACAAAACAAAACCAGACGACACCCCCCCCACACACACACAAAAAATTGTATGTGCATAAAGATAAAAAAAGCAAACATACAAACTGTCCACCTAGTTGAATGTCACACTCGCCCTGTCACGTGATGTTTCACATTGCTTTTTCTCTTTGGGGAGCTGGGGTGGGTGTGGCCTGCGTGTGACGCATCCGGCCTGCGGGGCACCAGTTTGACACCCCTGATCTTCTGTATATATAAAAAAGCAAAGTTAACAAGCAAAACAAACCATGGAGTTAAACTTCAAAGCCCTTTGTTAACTAACAGTTTATTATTGTATTTCAGTTGCAGAAAATCCACAATGGCTTCTAATCTACTATAAGCCACAACAGTAATCTCTAGTCTGCCCACGGATCAAATGTCCTTCATTGATTCTTAATTAAAAGGTTTTTCCTTAAATTTTTAACCAGGATCTTTCCCAACACTTAGTATAACTCTTTGTTATTTCAGCCATCTTCTGACAAAAATGCAGGGTTAAATTTGCACCACATGTCAGGATGGATGAAATCTTCCATTGTTGCTATCATGTGTTCCTTTGAAAATTTTGCTTTCTTGAGACGACCTTATCTATATCTTCTGCCTGTCTACACAAATCCCACAGTGATATCTCTTTTGTTTCTCTCTTCTTTTATTCTTACTCAACTGATCTCAGCAGGATTTCTGTGCTCTTATTTGTGAATTTCTGTACAGGCATCTGCTTTCTTTACATAGAAATACAATGATCCCTTCCTTCCTGTTGAGTCTGTTTCTTTTGTATAAGCTGTAATCTTCCAGGGCTATGTTCCAGTCATGTCCCCTCAAATGCATCAAATC